AAATTTCGGATTTGTTGAGGGAACCGTCGATGGGGAAAATAATGGCAGAATGGAGCATCTATTATATTGGGTTGGTGAATTGAAAACCGCCGGCTATTGTCATGTGACAGTTTGAGCACTTTCTTCAAAAGAAACCCATTTTGGTGTCAATGGAAAAGTTGTAGAGAATCAAAAATTAAGCTTATATCCAAATTTTCAGAACGATTCAAAAACTGGTTTTCAAGGAATGCCAAATTTACGAATTTTCACAAAACTTGCACTTTAAGCGAAACTACTAAGTGTATCCTTTTTGGAAATTTGGCTATAAGCCTAATTTTTGATTCTCTGCAACTTTTCTATTGACACCAAAATGGGTTTCTTTTGAAGAAAGTGCTCAAACTGGGACATCTCCAGTCCTGCATTTTTGAGTCTCACACTTGTCTCACACACAAACCAAAATCCGAGTCAAAAATCGTTCTCATCCACGATTGAATTTATCGGTTCTGATCCGATCCAAAAACTAGTCTAGTTACCTCTGGAAAAAGCACCTCATTATCAAGATATTTTTCAGTTTACGGACTATTCAAAGCTTCTTTTTTTTGAAATCTACTAATACGCTTGAAAAACCTATTGTGCAGTGCGTGAGAGGGTACCGATGGGGCAATGATTATTTAGATATTTATTTCGAATATAGCACAATTACTAATCTAGCGAGAAAATACAATAAATAGAATGAATCGTTGGTTCAGTGTGTCAAAGTCAAACGAGAAAGAATACAAAGTGGGCTCCGTCCCTTTTTATCACACAAACGATCTTTAGAGGAAGGACAAGAGAATCCGAGATATTCAAAATCAAAGCATCAAATAAGATTTCACAGAAAAGAGCTACTTTTCTGCACACCTATAGTGAACACCTTCCTTCACACATTAATTTGAATCTTGACAGTCCATCGTTTCAACGACTGGCTCTACCAGCCGATCGCCTTTGTAATCCACAACAAATTTGCTCCATTTATTTTTCTTCTGTCGAGTCACCACCAAATATCTGCGTGTTTCCTCGCTTTCTTGTAAGAAAGGGGCGATCTCTGCGGTGGGAATTTCAGTGAGCTGGAAAAACGAGTCCAAACATGCTATCTTTTGAGGATTATATTTTTTGGTAGGGTAATCCAGTAGAGTCAGGTAATCATTCGAACCTTCGATTGGGCATTGGAGTAATATAATCGAATCCGATAAAGTTTGATCACTGTTTTCACTGAAAACCACTGAGCCAAAGGTGAATGGTAGAGATTCCAGATAAGCTCCGAATTGACTCCAAATAGTTAAGTATCTTTCTGAATATTCTGCCGAACATACAGGGTAAGATATTTTAAACTCTTCTGGTACTTCAACATCTTTATTTTCTGCCCAGAAAAAACTCTTAAAGTCACAATTGGGTGAATGCATACAAGCAACTCGTGGTGGGCTATTCCACCGATACAGGAACCGGAAAAAAGTGTTTTTCGATTTAGAAGTGAAAATAGGATTTTTGTTAGATTCTGAGTATTTGGACATAGAACGCATAGTTTGTTTTCTGATTGCTTCCTTTACTTTCTCCAACATAGTAATAAAATCCACAAGGTTTATGGCTTGCTCATGTGAGAAGTGTAACGAATCACCTTTGAAAGTACAAATGTTTTGCTTTGAATTCTTTTTCCAATTGCCACCATAGAGTTGCTTGTTAAAATTTGTACTATAGAAAGTTTTCACGTTTCTGAATTCTCCAATGAATAGCCATTCTTCCCGGGTACTATCTGACTGATAGCATTTAAATGTTACATTCGAAAACAAGAGCTTTTTGTCTAACGTATCGAACTCATTAATCAAACGACTAATCTGAGAATATGCTGACCAGGGCAAAAACTTTCGCATATCAAAGTGATTGTAGCATAGATGAGTTGAAAGATCCCGTAACAACTTATACTGAATTTCGAGAATAACAGTCTGAAACAGCTTGTTAATATCGTACGACTGAAAAGCTTCTGGAATATTTTCTTTATGATTATGCCCATGAATGTAGAAAATGTGTTCTTCAATTAGCTTGCGTTGAAGTATCGGACTGTATTCGATAAATTGTTTTCTTTCTTCTTCAGAGAGCAAATTCAGCCTCTCGTTATATAACTGCGTCAAGTGACGAAGCTGTCCTCCATGATAGGATTCGATGTCCAGCGGATCAACATAAATTCCATGGTCATCTTTTTCTACAGTGGCCTTGCCATGATCAATATGAACTTGTTGTACACTTGTGAGATCATCAAAACCAATTGGCCGGATTAGTTCGTGTTGGTTCTCATCAACTTTGGGCGGTTCAACAATCGATGCAATGACACCTTGAAGCTAGAATTTATTTAATTACTACTCTTTTTTAAAGACTCATCCTTATTTTTTTTAAAGAATCAGCTGGGACAAGTCGAGGCACTATATCAAAAGAGCGCCGCAATCAAAAGGGCGCCGCTCAAGACAGCGATTAGATTTTTTTCGTTTTTCTTGATGTTTAGTGTTTAGTCTGAGCACATGTTTCTGCCATGTGTCTATGCATTTATAAATATTAAAACGGAGACCGCTTATCAAGAATTGTTCTCAACTGCAGATCTTTTATTTAGACATGGAATTAATATCCATAGCGGATTTAATCTTGCCTATTTGCACGCCCCAACGAAGCTTCACTACTGCTGCTTTCATTTTTGTCAAATTGTTCACCGGTCAATACAGATATTCTTAAATAGTACTATTTTTACTATGATAACCTAGAAGTTTCTTCTAGTACCTAGAAGTACTAGAAGTACTAGAAGTACAAACATCATTTTTGTTATTCTATTAAATTGTTAAAACAATTCATTATAAATATTTGGAATCAGTACAAGAGTTTTAAAGAAAAAAAGGTTAAAACGCAATTAGTGGTTGAATTTAATAAGACTTAAGGCTTAACGCTCTTTTGAGCGTTTTTGCATTGGCGTCCTTTTGATCACGTCTTTTGATATAGTCCCCAATTCGATTCTTTTCAATGATTAGACAAAACAGTTTACCTGATTGAATGTCCGAATTTTATTCAAAACGTCTATTGCAGTTGGCCGATCGATACGTTGAAACTCGACACAACTGAAGCTATAAAGTTAAGACCGAAACACAACCTATTTGCAATTTAAATTCTTTAAAAACCTACTCTTGCACAATCTCGCTTATTTCCTCCAAACAATCAGGTGGTGCAATTCGATTGATTTCTCCAAACCATACATCATGAATAAAGTTCCATTGGTCAAAAATATCGTTCTTGATATATTCCAAAAGATTGACTCTGAATTTGCTTTTTAAATTTTCCTAGGCGAAAACAAACCGCCTTTCAATTAACTCCCATATAACTAAACCAAGAGAGTACACATCATTTCTTGGTGAGGACTAAAACAAATCACATTTGATAATATTGGAAGATTGCAACCATTGAATCCTCTTGCACTTGTTCCTCAGCAGTTGACTTTTTGAAATCGATCTGCGGGGGACTTGTATACTTGTGTGTGCCCATGGTGGTGCTCGGGCAAGTAAAAGCTGTTTCTTTTACCAGCCCAAAGTCCCCAATCTTCATTGTAAAATCAGCCTTCACGAGTATGCTTAATGAATAAGTATACTAAAATAGGGTCTTTCTTTACCATTTCACTATAGGTAAATAAGATACTTATTCTGCAAACAACCTCTGCTAGTACCGGATTTTTGTAAAGCCAACTCACTTCAACGGTTTCAAATCTCTGTGAACGATTCCATGAGTTGTATGAATGTAGCTTAGTGCATCAAATAATTGTTCAGTCCAAACAAGAACATTTGTCATCGAATAGATTATCTGGACATTCTCAATCACTAAAATGAGCAAATTACCTTAAAAGAACTTTCAGAATACTCACAATTTTTTAAAGTCCCGCGTTCACAATATTCCATCTTCAGTAGAAAGTCGGTGTAATCATCTCTGGGAACCTCTACAATTTCAATGCACGATACAATGTTAGGATGGGCAAGCTTTTTAAGGGTTTCACATTCTTTTCGGAAGACATTTCGCTCTTTCTCCGTTTTCCAATTAACACCAATCGATTTGACGACAAAAGAGCTGAAAGCAAATGAGTTTTCAGTTTTCATTAGTTTTCTTCCAGTATCACGCAGGCCAGCCTATGACCAAGTTGCAATTTTAAGTTTAGCTTAAGTTCATATTGGAGTAAAATCGCACATTTGATTGCTTAAACAAAATTTATTCTCCATTACTATAAAATATTATACATGGTGAAATATTTAATAGACATGGGCCGCGAGTTGAGTCGAGTCAAAGTGACTCGCATAACTCGCCTTTTTCTAACCGTGACTCGGTGAATCGACTTGACTCAAAAAATCAAAAGCTAGTCGTTAAATTTGCATTTAAGCAAATTAACATATAAAATTTTTCTCAATAAAGTAACTTGCGATTTGCGTAATTTTTGAATACAAATCGCTAGTTAAATTAAAAAAGCTCTAAAATTGTGGCACGTTTACCCTTCTTTCGTTTTTTGTACTTTTTTTACCGCTTACCCTTTTTGTACTTTACTTTAAAAATTCGTCTCTCTTGTTACTTTCAAATTTTAATTTTTAAGATGCCCAAAAAGTCAATCGTCAATCCGCCTGACCGCCAAAACACTGAAAATCGAGACAACAAACAAAGATTCTAGTTCAGGTTCAAGTTTAAGTAGTTCATTTTTTATTAGCTCAAGTGCCTTTATTTTTGATAACTCAAGTTTGTCAGAGTAAAACCGTTGTTAAATGTTTTGAAGTTTTTGTTAACTTGTTGCATTGATCAATAACTTGTTAACTTGTTGCATTGATCAATAACTTGTTAACTTGTTGCATTGGAAATCTAAATTTTGGGTTCAGTTGAGAACACATTTTGTGCAATGCAAAAGTGAAATTCAATTATTTTTTTATCTTATTTTAACGTTTCAGCAACGTTTTTTTTAGGTTATAAATGATGACGAGTCGATTCGTGAAAGTTTTAGCGCGTTTTACATCTTCACGTCGAGTCGAGTCACCGCTGACTCAGCTCGGGTGACTCGACTTGAAAAAAAGCCCATGTCTAATACTTATTTTCAACGAGCTAGAATTGGATGCTTTAATGGACCAAAAACTGACCTTCCGTTTGTTTCTTCGAAAAGATATACTTGTCCAAAAGAGCCACTGCCAATAAGTCTCTCCTTATTTAGATTAAGTTCTAGAATACTCATTTTTGAGCAAGTTTTCGGAATGGGAAAAATGAAGGGTCGAGCAAAACATAAGTGATTCACTGCAGTCCTCTCACCACAAGATAAGGATTTTCAACACAGATCGTTCTTTGCCGATAGCTGAAATTTGAAATGAAATTTTGGTTCACAAGCTTAGATTGAGTTATTGCTTGTACTGTTTGCATAGAGTTTGTATTAAGCTAAATTCAAGCTTGTTAGTACCAAGCTATTGGGTTGGTGAATTGAAAACTGCGGGCTATTGTCATATGTGACAGTTTGAGCACTTTCTTCCAAAGAAACCCATTTTGATGTCAATGGAAAAGTTGTAGAGAATCAAAAATCCGTACGGTACCGAATAGCTTAATGGTTAGAGCAATTGAAAGCAGATCTAGGGTTCAATTCCCTCTCCAGATATCTACCTTTCCTTGCCACTTCCTTCACTTCTTGACAATAAATAAATCTTCGTTTTCTCTAGGACCTGGACGCTAGTGTCGTGTCAAATTGACGAGTTTCGAGACCTCGGATCCTCTTTTCCAGTGCTTAATATTGGGTTGGTGAATTGAAAACTGCGGACTATTGTCATATGTGACAGTTTGAGCACTTTCTTCAAAAGAAACCCATTTTGGTGTCAATGGAAAAGTTGTAGAGAATCAAAAATCAAGCTTATATCCAAATTTTCAGAACGATTCAAAAACTAGTTTTTAAGAAATGCGAAATTTACGAATTTTCACAAAACGCATTTTAAGCGAAACTACTAAGTGTATCTTTTTGGAAATTTGGCTTTAAGCCTAATTTTTGATTTTCTACAACTTTTCTATTGACACCAAAATGGGTTTCTTTTGAAGAAAGTGCTCAAACTGGGACACCTCCAGTCCTCCATTTTTGAGTCTCACACTTGTCTCACACACAAACCAAAATCCTACTACGAAAGAGGAATCCTCAAATTCAATCATCAATCACTTGCAAAGCAAAAAAATTTGCATGAAATTGCAGTGGAACCAAGAAATAGGAAAAATAAATAAACAAAAACTAGCGAGTGTTAAACGTGGAAAATAGACATGGGCATCGGGTCGGGTCGGGTCAAAAGTGACCCGCTGACCCGACCCGCGACCGATTTGTTGGACTCGTTTCAACTAATGCCAACTATCTTTTCTAAACTGCGATAAACATGGGCACTATAAACTACAAAAATAACGAACTCTCACACTACAAAGACTTCTAACTGGTATCAAAGCTGTCGCATTGACATGAACTATAACTCAAAGAAATAGAGACTCTCAAGTGCTTTTGAATGGACTAAAGTACATTCAAAGATATCATTGCTAAAGAAAGTTAAAGTGGTTTTTGGTCCTGTCAAAACGGACCGTATTCGCACGTAGTTTAAACGATCGAGCCAGGATACAAACCACTATAACTTTCTTTAGCATTGATATTTTTGGATGTACTTGAGTCTATTCGAAAGCATTTGAGATTCTCTATTTTTTTGAGCTATGGTTTATGTCAATGCAACAGATTTGAAGCCAGTTAGAAGCGTTTGTAGTTTACATTTGTAGTCTGTAGCGCCAATGTCTAAACTGCGACCTCTCATTTTCTTGACTGAATACTTTATGCTTAGTTTATAAAGGCTGCGATGCTCTCTCACATTTATCATTTTTTTGCGTTCATGAAAATTATTTTTGTTGTTACCGTAATAATTCTAATAGAAGACCATGGTCTTCTAATTTTCAACCCCCTTCCCAAAGGGTCTTCTATTAGAGACTGGTCTTGAATTTGTCAAAGCTTTAGAAAACGATTTTAGGAAGCAACCCTTTTTAAAAATCAGTCACATTAGTATCATCACTTTATTCACTTAGTTAAAGCAACAATTAACAACAATAACAACAAATAATTATTAACATAAAACATAAAACAATTTGAAAGGAGCAAATTTTTCGTCATCCGATCAAGAAACAAGAATTACAAAAACACTAGTAGGAAAGAAATAATAACTTTGCACAATGATTTTTACAAGAAAATCTGGGTGGTAGCGGGATACGGTAACAGAGCGCATTTTAAGAGTTTGGGTCTTCTATTAGAGACTGGTCTTCTAATAGAGACTGGTCTTCTATTTTTCAACCTCCCTTCAAAAGGGTCTTCTATTGGAGACTGGCCTTCTAATAGAGACTGGTCTTCTATTAGAATTATTACGGTAATTTGGTTTTTTTTATTTCACTGAACTTTATTTTTTAGTTTCCTTCAAAAAAACTTCAATGTCCTCAATTGCCCGATCGTCATTCGCAGGAATTCGCGACGAAGATGTGTGTAACCTCTGCAACACCAAATACAAAAGAGGCAAAAAAGGCGTTACGAAAAACCTCAACGATCATCTCAACAATAAACATAAGGAAATTTATGAGGAGGCCAAAACAAAGTAACTTTTAGTATTAAAGGCTCTCAAACTCCTGTTTTTAGGCAGGCTAAAGAAAAGCCAAGAATTTTGCCTATTACAACTTTCTGTGCTAAGGAAAAGCAAATTATAACGATTGATGCGGTTAACCTTGAAACTAGTGAGTTTGTTTCTTACGGATCGGATTGTCGTTATTGGAGCAGTTATTGATAAGTAACTTGTTGTTGTTAATTGTTGTTTGCCTATTTCATTGTTGCGTTCGAATAAATACTTATGTCAATAACATTGCTTAAAAAACATTTGGTAAATTTGCATTTATGTTTTGACCCAACCCGGCGAAAATTTTGAGCTTGACCCAGCCCGGCAAAAATTTTGCGCTTGACCCGACCCGCTGACCCGACCCGGGCGCCAAGACTCGAAAATGGACATGTCTAGTGGAAAAGTGGAAAGTTTTGGGATTTCTCTTCCCAAGATTTCTAGGGGTAATTTTACAGGTTCTTTCCAAAAAACACGGTATCAACAAGAAAAATAGGGCTGAAAATGTTGTTCTTTCAAAATTTGACGGACCCCGAAATGTGAGAAAAATTAAAATAATTTTGAAAAGCGAATGCGCCATTTTATAGAGCCCGTTTTAAGCTTTCAAAATCACTATAACACTTCTAGTCTATGATGGAAAAGTTTAGAGTTATAACTCTTCAAAGATAAAGAAAAATTCGTGAGGTGATAATCGTTTGTCCAGTAATGTATTTGTTTGTACTGTACTGTACTGTAGACTGTACTGTACTGTATTTGTTACCAAAGACTAAAAGCTACTTTTGGCTTTTCGCTTATCTCTTGTTCTTTGTTTTTAAATAAAAATTTTATTTACTTACATTTTTGGGTTAATCAACCAGAACAAAATCTTCAAAATAACCCTTTCAAATTCAATCATCAATCACTTGCAAAGCAAAAAAAATTGCATTAAATTGCAATGGAACGCAAAAAATAGGAAAAATAACAAAAACTAGCGAGTGTTAAAAGTGGAAAAGTGGAAAGTTTTGGGATTTCTCTTCCCAATTTCATGATCGAATGTTTCTTAGAAGGTTTCTATTCACCTGCCTTCTCGTTTATGGCTACGGTAGGAGATTTTCGCTTTGTTTTTACACGAACCAATGGCTACTTTTTTTTGCAGTAGCTTTTTTAAATTTCATTTTTGACTTTCAACTGGATTTTTGCATTATACAGGGTGCGGCAGAATTATAGGTGCATGACATAAAGACGGAAAACGAGCCTTCGCTCTTGATTTTGCACTCGAATTTATGTTTTTGTTGTTATTTTATGATTGAATTTGTATTTGTAAATTATAATTTTTTATAACTTTGAGTTTCAGGCTATGGTTCGCGCTTCCCCGCATCGACAATTGATCGTGGAACTTCATCGGAAGGGCGAATCGGCGACCGTGATCGGAAGAAAGTTGGGAGTGCATCGAAACGTTGTTAACCGAGCCATTCAACGCTACAACGAGTTGGGATCAATGTCTGATCGGCCGCGAGGAGGTGTTCGTCCATCTGTGGTGACGAAAGGCAACATCAAGAAGGCAACATGCGAAAGAAGCCCAATCAGTCCGCTCGAAGAATTGCCAAACATATGGGTGTATCCGATCGATCAATCCGTCGAATTATCAAGGACAAGCTCAAGTTCAAGCCCTACAAGAAGAACAAATCCGCTCTGCTTTCGGCAGACGCCAAATTGAAGAGAAGAGATCGATGTGAAAGCCTTCGTCTTCGTTTCAACGGAATCGACCACAGGAACATTTTGTTCACCGATGAGAAAATTTTTACGATTGAAGGAATTCTGGACAAGCAGAACGATCGAGTTTGGTCGAAAACTCAACCAAATGTTACCGTCGGTCGCAGCGGCCACCCAGCTTCAGTCATGGTTTTTGGCGGTGTGACGGCTTCCGGCAAGACACCACTGATTTTTTTGTGCCACAAGGAGTCAAAGTTAATGCGAACACGTACTTGGATATGCTAAAGAAAGAACTTGTTCCCTGGGCTCAAAATCACTTCCAAAATCGCATCTGGACCTTCCAGCAAGATGGTGCTCCCGCTCACAAAGCCAAGATTGTTCAGGATTTCTGCAAAGCGACTTTCCCCGACTTCATTGCATTCAACGAGTGGCCCCCAAGCTCCCCAGACCTCAATCCATTGGATTTCTCGGTCTGGTCTGTTCTTGAAGCCGAGGCCTGTCAGAAACCTCACAAAAACCTCGAAAGTTTGAAGAAATCTCTCTTGAAAGCCTGGGAGGGTCTGGACGCCGCCTACTTGGTCGCCACGGTCGACGCCTTTCCCAAGCGACTCAAGTCTTGCATCGACGCCAAAGGAGGAAGATTCGAATATGATCAATAAAAGTTGTTAATTTAAGTTCAATAAATATGTTAAAACTGTTTTTGTGGCAAATTTTTCGTTTTTTGGTCATATTCCAATGGAACTTCTCTGCACCTATAATTCTGCCGCACCCTGTACAATACAAAAAAGCTTGAAAACTCCTCGAGCTGACTGACATTGTTTATTGTTGAGGATTTTTTGATTCTTTTCAAATCAAAAGAGTGTGAACGAGGATTGTTCAACGATCTCGCATTAATTAACAATTGCAAATTGTGATTATGAATTTTCTTTTCAGCCTCGACAGCCTTTGCTCGACAGCCAGACGATCTAGTTTCAGCAATGACGAGCGGCGACATCGATAAGATCAAGTCGTTTTGCGAGTAAGCACTTTGCAATCTCTTGAAAAACTCTTTAACAGACCTGTTGGGATAATTTTCAAATCTTGATAATAAAATTAAACAAAAGCTAGAAGAATTTTTTATAGAAAATTCGTTGCCGCGTCCACTAACGCGAGCTTGCGTGCAGACGAGAGAGAGGAAGCTGGGATTTACAAGAACGCAGTCTGCACCGATGCCTATCTGGATTCCATCCAAGAAAGTCTGTTTTCTCTGTTTTCAATTAGTTTGAAGGTCTTCCAGTTGCCCCATTGCTCAAATGCATTCAACAGGCTGGCAACAAGCTGGAAGTGTGGGCGAAGTGCGGGAGGATCCATGCTGGGACGAGTTGCAGGTTGGCGATTGGAAAAGTCGATAAACTTTTTCGTCGGTGAAGAGAATCTTCCGATGATCAATACTATTGAAGCCAAGCAAAAGTTGGTTCGAACAAA